CTCTCTGTACCCTCTCCGTCGTTTTTCTGTAGCCCTAAAACGGTTATAAAAAATCAAGTTTCTTAAAAACAATATACTAGATGCCACTTGTGTGAAAATATGAAGCATTAAATTCATTTTAAGATGAGGTATAAAATAAATGAACTTGGTAGTTTTAAAAGCTAGGGGAAAACCCGTAAATAAAAGAAATTAATAAACTTGTAACATTTTTACACAAGTAATAAAAATGAAGCCAAAATAAATGAGTTAGAAAACATTTGTCCTCGTTAAATTCAATTTTTTGGTGATAAATGACATTTTGAGTAATAATTACAAAGTGAGAGGAAATATTAAAACATGGTAGAAACGTCGTGTACACATTTATCCTTAAAAAAAAACCACACACATAAAATTATCTTCTATGAAAACAGAAACTGCCGAAGCCGACTCACAAGGAGGTAGAGATTCCGAGGCAGCGGAAGGGACGGGAGCTGGGGGACACCTGCTCTGCCAGCCGGCGACACGGCCAGTTCTGCAGGCGGGTTCTGCCCAGGACCCTGACACTGACATGGGATCGTGACACCACGTGAAATACAGCACTGGACCACCTCGCCCAGGAGCGCGCGTGGGAACACCGATGAAAACGAGAGGAAACTGAATTCTACGGGGGGCGGACACATCGCAGCCAAGCGAGGCCTCCCCTGGGCCCGTAGGGTGGTTGAATCATATATTTAACAAAAGATTAAGGAAGGAAAAGTATTTTGATGATCTTAAGAAATGCCTGACAGATTAAAGATCAAAAATAATCATTTTAGGAGCAAAGGTAATTTAATATGCACTTACGGCACAAAACACACCAAAAACAAACCCAGTGAGCTGGAAGAGGGGGAGAAGGCGCCGGCATAGTCATCGGCATGTCGAGGGCGCTCAGCACCGGCGTCCGCTCCGTCTGCTCCGCGCATGAAGTCCCGCGCGCCTGCCTTCCTGGCTTTTCATCTGCGGAAATGTGCCCGCCTCGGCCCCCTCCCCACGCTGGGAGCTGGGAGCTGGGACTGGGAGCTGGGAGCTGGAAGCTGGGTGCTGGGGAGCAGCACTCAGCTCCAAAGGAACCGTGGCGGCAGCAGGCTCCAGCGTCACCCACCGGGCCAGCTGTGCGGTCTGAGGCCAGCGGACCTGGCTCTGCGGCTGCCCCTTGCTCCTGCCTGTGTTTCAGAGCTGGGCCTCACGGAGCCCAACAGGACCCCTCGGTAACCTCCCCTTCCACTCGTGGGCCAGAGCAGGGTTCTGCTACACTCAGGACGAAGACACCTCCCCAGTGACAGGAGCTGCCTGTGCTGGGACCCCACAGGCAGCGGCACCCTGGTGACGGCGGTGACAGGCCAGCTGCCTGTCATCAGCACGGGGGCTGGAGGTGGGAGGCAGTGTGATAAGACAGGAGGGGGAAATGGGATTTTTAAAACACCAGAAATGAAGGGGCAAGATTGACACCCCGACCCAGCCTGACCCCACCCCACGTCGGTCCCACGCACCAGGCCTGGCAGGTGAGTAGTCGCCGTCTGCCACTTAAATCGAGGGATTAACAACAAATAACAAAATCGTTTACCTGGAAAACTCACGATGATCAGTGGCGGAAGTCTTTGAACAAATGGGGATTTAATCATTCTTATTACTAATGTGTGTTACGAGGTAAGCACGTCCAAATCGAGGGCTCCCTCGAATGCTCTCCGTGACACGTTCGAAACGGGAACGTTCGTAAGTGCCAACAACAAAATGTACCTAAAAGTAAACTTAAGAAGAAATGTCGAAGACAGAGAAAATCTTTAAGTTTTGCAGGAAGATATAAAAGACATGATCAATGAAAGCGTGAATGAAACAGGGGCCACCTACTGAACCTGACGGGCTCGGGGGGCACACGGCGGGCCCGGCAAACTCAGAGCCCGAGGTAAGCGCCCGGGGTGGGCTAAACGTACAAACGCCTAAGTAAGAGCGAGTCACGGCGGCTCCTCACGCCCTAGGCCTGTGGCCTCCTTGGTGAAGGTCAGTCTTTCCCTTCGAAATGGTCCGTTGTCCCTGGGCCGCTAGGATAACATTGAAATGTCAGAGTAATTTCTCTTCCAGATCCGCGCAGGCACGACGACCATCTCGAGAGCACGAGACCACGGTGCCCCTTGCGGTCATCCTGTCCCCCGAGGGTCATCTGTCTGCGCCGTGTGAGGTAGCCCACACCCACCCACGTGAAACAAGCATGTGTCCCTCCGTTTGCTTCATGTCTCATCCCAGAGACCCGCCCCCCGTGGGCGTCAGGTAACCGCCCGACGTCTCCTTTGATTCTAATGCATAAAATCAGCCGCCGAGCGTCACACTGCGCAGCATTTTCTCAGTCCGCTGAGACGTTTGCTCCCCAGCAACTGCCATCGGTTTGGTTCAGATAAACTGCCACAAGACTCGTTCTTAGGCTGGACTTTCTTTCATCGACAACAGGAAAGACGTGGCATGTCGCTTCCTAAAGAAAAACTCATGCTGAAGCCCACGGCCCCAAACCTAGATTTCGTACCTGAACGAATTGCCATTTCGACTCTCCCAGAAGCATCCTCTTCATCGACCAGGCTGGGATTTTCTGGTCCAGCACCAGGAAGGTCGTCTGTCACCTGGGCCCTCTCCCTTCGCCGCAGGGAGCAGAGGCCACCTGCCGGATGGAAACCCTTCCATCCTCTCCCCGCAGAGAAAAGGCATCGGCCCCGGAATAAGCCTTGCTTTTCTTTGCTGATAGCTCCCTTCCCCACCGTCCGTCTGCAAAAACCCTCCGACTTGCACGGCCCCGAGGAGCTCAGGTCCAGTTGCGAGGTGGACGCTGCCGAGTCATGAGTCGCTTCCTAAACCCAGTTAGATCCCAAATGTACTCAGTCGAATGTGTTTTTCGGCACCTTGAAAAGAAAGGCCAAGGAGCCGGGGAGCGCTGAGATCTCTGCGGCCTCCCGGTGGCTCCCCGAAGTCTCCACGGTGACAGCCGGCCCCCTAACCTCACCACCCCCAGGCAGGCAGGCTGGGCTGCTGTTCTTTTACAAGCCAAGCAAAGAGAATTCTGCCCATCAAGTGGCCCAGCCTGGAAGGAGGCATCTGCCGCCCAGACAGGCGAAGGGTTAGCACGCGGCCGTGCAAACATCCGCTGGGACTCAACCGAGCTACCCCGTGCCAGGCAGTCAGAGAATGTGCACCTCACAGAGACGAAACTCAGATGGCCCATGACCACGTGTGGCCAGGGTGGGGGGAGTGGGCCCCGGGTCCCAGAAAGGCAAGCAGGGGGCGGGGCACACGGCCAGGGTGGGCGGCAGCAGCGGCCCCTGGGCGGGGCACAGGTGAATGAGGCCCAGCGATGGAGGGAGCCGCCTGCCCCTCCGGGCCACAGGTCGCTTTCCTGGGGGCAGCTGCCCAGCCGGAGGAAGGTTTGGTGGTGACACTGGCCGGGGACGATGATTACTGCCACCCAGAAAGGCAAGCAGGGGGCGGGGCACACGGCCAGGGTGGGCGGCAGCAGCGGCCCCTGGGCGGGGCACAGGTGAATGAGGCCCAGCGATGGAGGGAGCCGCCTGCCCCTCCGGGCCACAGGTCGCTTTCCTGGGGGCAGCTGCCCAGCCGGAGGAAGGTTTGGTGGTGACACCGGCCGGGGACGATGATTCCTGCCGCGGCCGGGAACGCGGAAGGACGTCGCGTGTGACCGAGGGTGACTGCCGCGGTCTCCCGCGTGGCCTCCTCCGCGGTGAGAATGGTTTAGGGGACCCCGGTTTCCCTAGTGACCTGCCCCCCAGGAGTCAGGGAGATGATTCAAATGAGCGTGAGGCTTCTGGTGACCGGTCAACCTCTGCAGGACAGTCGCCACGGTGGACAGGACAGCAAAGCGATTGCTCCTCCCCCTCTCTGGGGACTCTCGGCCCTGGCCGCCGAGTGGCCATGTCGACAGTGGCTGTCCTGTCCCCTTCCTCTTCCAGGAAAACAGACTCTTCCCCAAGTTCCCAGTGAAGTCTGTTCCATGCCCGGGCTATTTTTAGGGGTCGGTGTGATGAAATGTTTAGAACTGTCAACGAAGTGCTGGCTCTGTGTCCCCAGCTTGCGCTGTTGATGTCCCCGCTGCTTAAGGAGCAGGTCCCTTTCCAAAACAAAGTCTGCTCTTTGGTAAGAGGCGGCCCTGCCGTGCCTGGAAGCATCGGCCCCTGGGAGGCCTTCCAGACGGGCACTTCTGCCAGGGGCTGGGCACACCCCCAGGCGCCTGGTGGCCAGCCCAGCTTGTTTGTCCTGTCGTCTGAAGCAATCGCTGGGCTGTTGTTTGAGGAGATCGCAGGACGGCCTGTGTGTGCTGACGAGCAAGGTGGCATGGGACCCCACAGAGCAAACACTGTCACATGCCGTCATGGGGGGGCAGCGGGGCAGGGAAGCGGCTCGGAGCCGGTGGCAGCTCCACAGCTGGGACAGTCCCGGAGCTCAGGCCTCAGCTCGGGGCCGAGGCGCTGCCAGGGCCCCTTGGGAAAGGGCAGTGGGGCAGGGGGCTGCGGGGGCCGGGCTGGTTCCCCAGTGCCCCGACATGGTCCCAGTGACCGCCAGCCCCCGGCCTCCCGCAACCCACTCTGCGGCTGCGCTGTGACCGGCCACACAGGGTCCAGTCGCCACTTGAACGGGCAACGCTGAGTCCTGTCTTGAAGGAAGAGGCTGCAGGTAGCAGGCGGGAGGACAAAGGGCACTTTACGAGGGGGAACCGAGGCCCAGAGGGGCCAGCGATGAGCTGGGCTGGGCCGGTGCCGTCTGAAGCGGGGACGCCGCCCGCTGAGCTGCAGCTGCGGGACCAGGGCTGAGGAGCCAGAGACGGGCTGGGCCCGAGCTGCAGCAGCCCGGCCATCGCTCCAGCACTTGGCCCCTCTGTGGAAGCCACGGCCACACCAGGGTGGCAGAACTCCCCCCAAGGGCAGTGAGGCATGGCTTCCCCCAGCCCCCACCCCGGGCGCTGTGTCCCCAGCTCTTCCTGGGCGCACCGGACGGCCCCGGGCTGGGCTCGCAGGGACGGCCATGGCGCTTGAAGAGGACAGAAACAGCCAGTTGCCGCGAAGGGCTGGCTCCGGTGACGGGCGTGGGATGTCGCTGGCAGAGTGTGGAACACAGACAAAGCTCCAGCTGAGCCGAGGCGGGTGTGGGTGGCGGCGTGGAATGCGCACCCAGGAGCCGGCCGAGCACACCACGGACCCGTGGGTGGAGCAGGCTGCTCTGGGGCCTAGTGGGAGGGCACAAGGGACAACGGCCAACCGGGCCAGGGTGGAGGCCAAGGCACATGCACAGGGCCAGGTGGGGCAGGGTCATCCGGACGCCCCCACGTCCAGCGCCGTGACTCCAGCCAGGGCCGTGTTCTTCAGCTCGAGGCAGGGCACATGTTCTGGGCACAGTCCTCTAAAAGGCTAACAATTAGCCTGGCACTGGCACCTTGTCTAGGTCCCTTGGGGGGTGGGGTGGAGCTGGTCAGGGAAGACGCTTCGTGGCCGAGGGGGCAGTGGCCCGGGCAGACAAGGGCACGACCCAGGGCTGGGCAGCCAGGAGCAGACGGAGTTTCCCCACAGCCACAAAGCAGGCCAGGCCTCACCCTCTGCTTTCCCGTTCGCTCCTGGACATCCTTTTGCAAACACGCCCGCAGGCTCTGACCATCTGTCGTGCACCTCGGCTCTGGAGCCCACAGACCATGACAACCCCAGAGACTGCTGAAGTGGAGGATGCTGGGAGTCTGCCTCAGCCCCTCCCACACCCCCTTCTCCATTTCCACGCCCACCTCCCCTTCGGGTCCCTCACCATCCAGAACCCACTGCCAGAGGCGTCCATCCACGAGGCAGCTGCAGGTCCACTCTGCTCCCAGCACCTAGGAATTAAAGCCAGCCCCACCCCCGGC